GGCTGAGTCGAACTCCTTCTGCACTTCGGGTCGGCCGAACATGCTGAGCATGTTCGGCCGACCCGAAGCCACACGAAGCAAGCCGATGTACGGCTGATTTCAGCCGATGTACGGCTGAAATTAGCCGTACCAGCCTGAAGTGAATAGCCGAACAGTGTTCGGCTCACTTCACTTCAGATCGGTCATTCACTCGGCTACCCTCGGAAGCTTCGTGAATAGACCCCTGTGTGTTCCAGTGTGGTGCAATTGCAGGAAATAGTGCATGTAGTTTTATACTGAAGTGAACTTTGTTTGTGACCCTCCATTTGTGTATTTTAAACAAAAGATAGTATTTCATTTTTTGTATCTGATTAATCGAAAAAATAAGCGGCCAACTAATTGATTATGAAAATAATCGTTAGTTGCAGAACTACAATCTCAACCCAGCACTAAGGAATGAGGGCTTATGCTTGCTGAGAAGATACTGCACCGCCACTTCCTGATGAGGTTCATGCGTGAGTATGGCCCCCATCGTGTCCAATGACATTACAGTATTTGAAGCCTCATAGAATTGGACATGTTGTTTTTATGGACAATAAAATAAATGGATAGGTATTATTAATATATTAACTTACTATTTTTCATCACTGTTTAAACATTGATTTGGACGATGATTTATATTTATTATTTATGATTTGTTTAGGGTTTATTTTTATCTACAGAGCTGTATATTGGTATTATACATTTTTGAATATCTTTATGATATTTGTACATCTGTTAGGGTGGTTTTTTAAAACATTTACTCATTTTAGGAGTGCTGAATATGTATTTATTTGATTTTTCCATAGCATTTAAAGCTGGTAGGTTGTTTGCAGACATTTTCTTTACTTATGTCTGCTTAGATGCAGCAAGAAGATATCTCCCAAATTTATGAGATGAGAAAGAGGACACCTTCCAGCAGAATGTATTTAGCCATGCCCCCTGTTATGTGGCCATTAAAAAATGTATGTAAAAAATAATTGGTTAAACCCAGAGTTGCTTTTTTTCGCTATTCACTTTCCTTCATATTGGCCTTTTGAATTAGCAAACAAGATAATTAAGAGATGGGGTGAAGGTTTTAGTGCAGCATAACACTTCTGGTAGTTTAATAGGACCTTTCAATAGATATCTGTATAACAGACCAAAATGGGGGACAACTGAGGAGGAAAGAGGGACAGAGGGATTTGGTTCCATATGAACAATAGTCCCTCAAATGAAGGACCATTGAGAGGTATGTATGAATGAGAACTTCTTTGCCACTTTTGGACACTTTAGTGGTTAAGATACACAAAAGTTCTTCCCAGCTTCTGACACCATCTTTCTACCATGTCCCATGTGGCTTAGATCTGTGTAACAAAACCTTTATTGAACACACAAACATAAAAAGCTTGATTGACTACAGTACTTGTAGGTTATAGTAGATGTCATCAAACATTTTAAACCCTATGGGGTTGATTTAGGAAAAGAAGTTTCCCTTGGCTTAGTAAGTGAGGTGAAGTTGACTTCTATCATCTAATCATGTGCAAGCACTAATAAAGTTTTTTTTTTTCTTTGCAAAGTGACTTATCTTGACATTCACTAAGCTAAGAGCTAAATTTGCTTGCAAAATAAATAGCTTATTTGCCATTAGTAAATCACCCCCTTTGTCTCATAACAATTATCTCTGTTTGTCTTGATGATCACTATATTGTCACCAGGACAGAAATGGAGGGAAAATACAAAATGTTAAGTAGTTACCAAAACAGGAATTAAGGGGAAGCCTTCCAATAGGGATAGTTGTTTTAATGGCAACTGTCTAACAGGGGATTCCCCTCACTTGTATACCAAATAACTAAAACTGTAGGACTATGTATATCATATATTAGCTAACTCAGCATGAAACTCACATGTCCTAGGTTACAAGTGGGCACTCACCTACCTATTAACTCAGCCATAAGATATATAAAGAAACACGTTAGCAGGTATGTGAGTGCACTGCTCTCAACTGGGTGTTTGAAAAGATACATTTACTTTAATTTTAATCCATCTAATACAAACAAATTACACAAAAACACTTTCAGTACGCAGAATACTATGACAGGCAATATACATAACAAGGGAGGGATGACAAAATGAATAAAGGAAAACAAAAACACAAGGGGTAGGAAGAAACGAAAAACAAGGGGTAGGAAGAAACGAAAAACAAGGGGTAGGAAGAAACGAAAAACAAGGGGCAGATCTGGTCGGGGTTAGTGCCTCAGTGTTAATACTCAATCACAAGGTGGAACATAAGGACAACAAGCACAGGATGGAGTACCATACTATTGAAGCGTTACTGGGAAGCCTACAACAATGTATTGTAAGGTTTTATCAGCTGATGGACTATAATCCTGCAGCATTAATGTGTTGTAAGTATCTGAGTGCTTTAAATCTAGCCAACAGGCCCACGTTTTATAAAAGCCATCATATATAAAAGCCGTCTTTACTAGTGTGTAGAAGTTCCTCTAAGTAAAGGCAATCTATCTATCTGTGCAAACCATTCAGCAATGAGAGAGGGAACATGAGGAGATTTCCAATATTTAGGAATAAGAGCTTTAGCTGCATTTAGCATGAAGGGCATCAAAGCTTTTTTTTGTGTTAGATCTCCTAGAAGACTATGTAAGATGAAAGAGGCAAGTCCAACTCCAGATATCTTGAGGCATCAGTAGTCCGCTGATATTGTGAACAAAGGTTCCTATGGGGCCGCAGTTACGCCAGCACAGTGGAGAGACCGTTGAGCAAATTACATGTGCTGTAGGAGAAACAATATACCATCTAACCAGCAGTTTGAAGTTAATCTCCTGTAGGTGACCACGAAAACTCTTTCTTAAGTGTTGCATGACTGTCTGAAACAGTGTTTGCCCTTAATTCAATTAAAGGAAACTCCCAATCGACCTTAATCAATTTCTACCTTGCCCTGATACGCTATTGCACTGATGCCATCTTCATCCACAGGGTATACATTGTGCATCTTAGCAGAGCAATCTATTTATATGGAGATAGTTCTACTTGAACTGGGACAATTTGGAGTTTCCACTGGAATCATTATTTATATCCTGTGAATACACACCACTGACATATTACATAGTGCTTAACAGGGTACATATAAGAATTCAGTTCATCCCCCTTAGGGGATTTTTAATGTTTCTGCCACCTCATACAAACATACACTTGCACACTCTCTGTCTTTTTTGGGTCAATGTCAATTTACCAAGGGACATGTTTTTAGACGGTGGAAGGAAACAAAAGTATCAGATGTACACTACTCACAGATATGCATATAAGCTCCAAATCAATATCACTATTGGTGAAAATCGAATAGACAATCCTTGTGATTCAAGGCTTAGTCTGTTGATTAGTAACTTAGTCTGTAGATGAATCCATGAAAGAATGTCAGCATCCTTATGAAATAGCTGCATGTTAGTCTTGTCTATGAAAGTCATTATTTTAAAACTATCCTCCTCCTGCTAAATAACTGAAAGTTGCATCTATATGATAACTATTAATGTTTTATAAACTGTTAATGGCTCATTCTGACTGCATTTTCCACTGTAATGCTCAATCATTTTTAATCACATCACACCCCTTTGCCTCTTAGGAATCATCCATAACCCTGATGTGCTAGAATGCTGAAAACTCAGTTAGTTGGTGACCCTTCCAGTTGAAGAATTGCTAGTGATTCTTGTTTAAATCTAATCAATACAAACACGGTAAAGGTTTCTTTATTTAATCTCTCTTTGTATCTTGTTATCTAGGAAGAACACTGGAGAATTGAGAAATGTTCTCCTCTACTTGTCGCAGATAATAAATTAGAAAGTGCAGAGGTAACAGCAGAGGGCTTGGCCTCTCCCAATAATGAAACAGAGGAAGAGCCTGACTCTCATCTACAACATTTGCTAATTGAAGATAAAGAGGACTTGCCCTTCAAGTATGTACCAAATCATGTTTTTGTTTAAGGTTATTGGGGAGAACAATTAACATACTTAGGAGAACTGTGCATGTCATGACCTTTTTCAGCCATTATCGACTGTTTCCTTCTGTCGTCTACATATAAATTAATGTGATGTCTGTATAAACAATGTTGGCCATAGTTTTCTAAGCACTTTCAAGACTTCAGTTTCTGAAAATACAATTGTTCCACCAGGGAGGTACCTGGAACATCTAACAAACCAAAGCAGAGCTTTCATCTGTATATCTACTGTGATTTCTTAAAGTGTATTTCCACTTTTGCAGTCAAATTGGGATAACACCTACTTTATACTTGTTACATGTCCCTAATTACATAGCATTACTCATAAATTATAAAAAATATATAAATTGCATACTACCTTTTCTAGACGCTCTTCTGCTAACTCCAGGACTCCAGGCTCATGTGGATGTTAAAATAATTCACATTGGTCCTTATGTGAGAGTATGGTAGGCCATGCACAGGTGGATTGTTGGAAGTAAAGTAGGCCATGCCCAGATAGATTGTTGGGAGTAAGGTAGGCCATGCTAGATAGATTGTTGGGAGTAAGGTAGGCCATGCCCAGATAGATTGTTGGGAGTAAGGTAGGCCATGCACAGGTAGATTGTTGGAAGTAAATTAGGCCATGCCCAGATAGATTGTTGGGAGTAAGGTAGGCCATGCTACATAGATTGTTTGGAGTAAGGTAGGCCATGCCCAGATAGATTGTTGGGAGTAAGGTAGGCCATGCCCAGATAGATTGTTGGGAGTAAGGTAGGCCATGCACAGGTAGATTGTTGGAAGTAAATTAGGCCATGCCCAGATAGATTGTTGGGAGTAAGGTAGGCCATGCTACATAGATTGTTTGGAGTAAGGTAGGCCATGCCCAGATAGATTGTTGGGAGTAAGGTAGGCCATGCCCAGATAGATTGTTGGGAGTAAGGTAGGCCATGCCCAGATAGATTGTTGGGAGTAAGGTATGCCATGCACATATAGATTGTTGGGAGTAAGGTAGGCCATGCACAGATAGATAGTTTGGAGTAAGGTAGGCCATGCACAGATAGATTATGTAACAGATGGACTGGCAGAGAAAGTGTGCCTGTCAACTCAGGACATATAGTCCATGTGTGAGGGAACATGCTTAAAGTGCATGTCCAGGCCAATGTGGCCTAATTGGACAGGCAGCTGAACCACACCCACGTCTGACAGAGGGAGACTGCTAAGAGGCAAAGGTGGTGTTGGCCTCACACCTTTGGGTTACAGTAAAGCATGTTAATATATCATGCAAGAGTTAGTGAGCTGCGGTATAATTTATTTTGAATGGGACCCCAATGCACTAGAGCAATGTATGTGCATTCTAGCTCATCTCAACTCGTGGTAATGTACTACCATGCATTGTGTTACACCGTGTTGCCAAAAAAGGGTCAGGTCTGGTTTGAGGTGCATGGGAAGTCTATTAAAAATGACTGGGTTGCATTAACAGAAGGCACTTCAACACTCAGCATTCCGCATGTTAATGTGTAAGCAGTAAGGCATCACAGCACACCACAAAGATATGAATCTGAAAGAGACTGGGAGTCTGAGCAGATTGAAGAGTGTTGTAAAATAGCCAGGAGGCTGGAAAATCACTGGGGTATATTTTTCACATCTGTTGCATGGCAAAGCAATGCTAAACAAAAGCAGTGAGACAGATCATGTGACAGATTTATTACAGGCTTACAGCTTGAATCACAAATTCCTCCCTCAGCTGCTCTAAGGTATCTCAGTGATAGAATGAAACTTGCCTCTGACCAGTTCTTAATTATGTGTCTGTTTAAAGTGAAAATCTGTTTTATCTCCAATAATAAATCTGTCACAGAACTTTGCAAACTGTTGCATTTCACTACCCAGGAATACAGACACATGTGACTGTAAACCTGTTGCAGAGACTTTGCTTAACACGAGGCACCTTGATTTGCGACCAGTTTGTGTCGCTAATTTACTTGACAAATGTGTTGAACTGAAATACTCCACTCTGTTATCTGGCTCCTGTAATGACAAAAAAAGTGGTCTGGAAGCCTTCAAACACAACTTGACAAGTGAATTGAGTCATTGAAAGCTCTCTGATTCTGATCCTTTTCGATTCGCTGTAAAAAAGTCGCGCGACAAACGCGCGTTTCCAAAGGCTACTTGGCTGTATCCCAATGGAAACGCGCAACAAAATGGCCCAAAGTAGTACATGTACCTTTTCAGGCGTGGAGCGTTTTGTAGCGCGTTAGGGACGGGCGGAAATACGCCAAGGTGGGAACGAGACCATTGAATACAATGGGATTTATATTTTTGAGCGTTTTGTAGAGCGTTCGTCGAGCGTAGAACGCGCTACAAAACGTTCAGGTTTTTTTTTTCAGAGCACCCAGAGGAAACCCATGCAAGCACAGGGAGAACATGCAAACTCCTTGCAGATAGTGTCCTGACCGGGAGTTGAACGAGGGACCCCCAGTGCTAACCACTATGCCGCGGTGCTAAAGGATAAGAAGCTGTTCATTTTGCAAAGTGAATGTTCACTATGCAAAGTGAATGATCTTTTAGCTTAGTGAATAAGGTGAATCTGACTATCCTTTTGAAGTGCAAGCAATAAGTCTGCACTTAAAGTAGCATGAAACGCTCAAGCTTTTTTTTTTCTATAATGAATGCGGATCAAACAAGTACACATTGCCCCGCAAAGTATTTTCATTTTTGCCCAAGCATTTACAGTCATCATGTTTTCATACAACTGGCTCAAAGTCTCTCAGCTCAGTTTCCCTGAACTTCTTGTCCAGTACAAGATCACAAGGGTTAGAGCAGACTCCAACAGCTATCCATCTACTGGCTTGGAGAAGGGAAAGGTGAGCAGGGAGGAAAGAGGAGAGGGGAAGCGGGGAGGAGGGGAAGGGCTTACCTTGTTGTGACTATGGGGTCTATTCACAAAGCTGCCGAAGGATCCAGCTGTAGCTTCGGCTGATCCTTCGGTTAGCTTCGACTCCAGGGCCCCTTCGGTTCAGTAGAACCAAAGGGCTGCTATACTGGCTATTCACTATAGCCCGTACAGCTCCCGAAGTTGGCCGAGGGCTGCCTACGGCGGCTTTGTGAATAGACCCCTATGTGTTTGTGGAGACACACACAGCTTACTAGCACACACAAGGGTGGCTCCATAGGACTGGGCAAGGGAAAGGAACCACCCTAAAACAGGATATCATGGCTAGTGCTCAGGGGACCAGCTGATTCTACAAGAAACTTAAACTTTTAACCTCAAGGAGCAGCATTTATTGTAAGTGATATAATCAGCATTTAAAATAGCCTGAACACATTTTGACTTTAATATCACTTTAAATATTCATTGTGCATATTTTGGTATTCCATGTATACACTCTTTTACCTTATCGACTAAGCCAGGCCTCAAAATTTCCACTCGCCGTGAAAATTGTGGGTCACATTGCTGACCTCTGCACTGCGGGTCACATTGCTGACCTCTTCACTGCAGGTCACATTGCTGACCTCTGCACTGCGCGTCACATTGCTGATCTCTTCACTGCGCGTCACATTGCTGACCGGTGCACTGTGCGTCACACAGCTGGCCTCTGTATTCTGCATTGCACCACTGAATTCTGTAATGTGCGTTGTTACTGATCTTTGTACTCTGCGTCACACCGCTGACCTGTCGGAGATAAGGCCGGGGCAGGGTAGGGTTTAGGTAGGGCAACTGGTGGCGAGTAACTTTTAAGGTCTGGCTAGTAGCTTAGGACTTGACATTTTGAGCCCTGGACTAAGCCATATGAAAATCCACTTTGCAACGTAAAAATTTACTTTTCTAAATAAACAGCCTGTAGTCCAGGGGCGCCCACAATTTTTCGTCTGGAGATCTACTTTTCAAATGACGAGCTCAATGAGATCTACCAAGGAAAAAACACCTGCATTCAGGGGTGGGAGGGGGCGTGGCAGTGCATTGAAGTCAACCGACCCTCTCTTTTTTCTCTCCTTGCGCTCTCTCCTCTCTTTCTCCCCTGTTTCTATCTGCTGTCTCTTCTCTCTCTCTGCTGTCTCTTCTCTCACTTTCTCTACTGTCTCTCCCCTGTCTGTCTTTTCTTACCTCCACTGCAGCAGCTTCCCAAGTCTCCTCTCTCCTTCCCGTCTGCAGAATCTGCCACATTCAGCCGCACGAGTACCGCGGGAGGACAGGACACAGGTCAGTGAGCCGAATGCGATCTACCTAATGGGCACCCCTGCTCTAGTCCATTATTGAATCAACCCCTTTGTCTCACGGGTTGCTAAAGCAAGCTGTTTTTACCAAAGGTTTGTAGTGAGGAGCTAACCTCTTTAAAGAGTCAATGTGCAAGTCTTGTGAAGAGGGGTGCATCCAAACAACCAGTCATTGTTTCCTACTAATTATGAATGTTAGTTCAAAAAAGATGCAGTCCCCCATAAATAGAAATCCCTAAAAAATGGAAATGATCTGATGAATAGATCACAAATAAGTAATGTAATATAACAAAATTTATTGTATTTCAAAACTATACTTATAAAGACACCTATAACACGACACTTAAAAACAGTTAAAACAACGCTTCCCTGGAATCACCTGTGTATAATGATGCGGGTACTGAACATATGAATCTCCTACGGGGCAGGAAGTCTCTGATGTGAGTGAGATACAAACATATCCACAGTAGAGAAAACGGAGTTGTACTCACATTATGTGTAACCGGTAAAAAGATAATCCTAATTGGATCCCACAACGATACATGCATGTAGTTGTTTCGGAAGGAATGTATCCTTGTGTAGCCCCCACCACACTTCACTCTACAGTGCGGCCGTTTAGGTCGAGAACCCACATTGGAGGCTCCCCTGTTTAGGGTTGATATCCTTATTTCTTGCAGTGGTGTGAGTGCAATCAAATGGAGAGATAAGCACCTATGGAACTTCAGATTCATCAAAGATCCGGATCATATGGAGTAAAACTGCTACAC